TTTTTTTTTTTTTGGTACTGGGGATCGAACTCGGGTCCTTGCACTTGTAAGGCAGGCGGCGAAACCACTGAGCTAAATCCCCAGCCCTGCTTTAGGAATTTTATATCTTTTAAACTTAGTAGGTTTGGAACTGTACTATGAATATTTAATTGAGCAATCTTCACAATGGACCTATATCTTTCTAGTATATTTTATTAAAATCTCTTTTATATGCCACTACTAAACATAATCCCTCTTATGCCAGAAATAGTTTTTTTTAAAGACAAGGTTTATTTTGACTCACAGTTTCAGAGGTTTCAGTCCATGGTCGGCTGGTGGAAATATGGCAGAAGGGCATAGAGGAGCAAAGCTCCTCTCCCATCTCCATGGTGGCAGGAAGCAGAGAGGCAGAGAAAGCAGTCAGATATTTTTGACAGATTTCTTCTAAGTGTATATTTGAAGACAGCGTGGCTACTTTCACTACTTCTAAAGTTGAGGGAAGGTTTACTATGTTTTCATACAGATAATTGTGTCATTCTATTGCAAACTGGATGTATTAACTATTTTTGTTTTACAAAGGTTGGAGGCAAGATAGAGAAAAAAGAGATGATCAAGATGAAGTATCCAGTGTGAGAAGTGAGGGTGGCACTATCCGAGGTTCCTTTAGAGGCCGAGGAAGAGGCCGAGGAAGAGGCCGAGGATGGGGAAGAGGACGAGGCAGAGGAAATCCTCGACGTATGACATAATTTTTTTGTTTTGTTAAATTAGATGAGCTTTGAAAAAAGGGAGCAAACCATCTGTTAGTTTTTCACATTGTCCTTTATTGTATTTTAACTAGGTTTTTTTTTGTCTGGTAATAAAGATGGCTTTATTTTTATTAACCCTTGAAGTACTTCACTTTGGATTTTCCTTTATTTAAAATCTGCGATCACCCTTCTTGTTTTTTTATTCACATCAAGTGAACTCTGAGTATACGTATGGATATGGAGAACTCGGTGAAAGGACTGATCAGCCATCTCAAACGGAATTTAATGCCAGTATGATGTACTACTATGATGATGGGACAGGCGTACAGGTGTATCCTGTGGAGGAAACATTGCTTAAAAAATATATTAAACGGCAAATGTAAGTTGATGTCACATGTAATTATATGGAATAGTAAAATTTGTTGCAATATCAAACTTTTATGTGAATAGTTACCCTGAAAGTGAATATAACATTTTTAAACTATTAATAAAAGTTAGAGAATGTTAATATTGATTATATTTTCTAGGAAATACTAGTAAAATAAGTATTTTTAAAAGATTATATTTGGCTGGATGTGGTAGTGTGTATCTCAGCTCCTTGGAGGCTGAGATAGGAGAATTACAAGTCCAGGGCCAGCCTGAGCAACTTTGTGAGATCCTGTCTCAAATATCTAAAAGGATTGGATAATGTTGCTCAGTGGTAGAGCATTTGCTTAGCATGAGTGAGGCCCTGGGTTCAGTCCCTAGCTCCGAAACAAACACAAAAGCCCAGAAAATTATGTAAGTAGATAGGTATAGTTGATTCATGTTGTTGTAATAGTGTCTTTCTGAGGGGTTTTTTAATTTTTAATTTTTTTTTTTTTTGCACTGGGGATCCAACTCAGGACCTTGTGCTTGTGAGGCAGATGGCAGAATCACTGAGCTAAATCCCCGGCCCAGGTATATTAAAATTTTGCAAATGAACATAAGTGACAGAAATAGCGGCAGATAGCTTCTGATTTTATTTCTGCTAACTTGTGAATCTGAGTTTGTTTATATCCAAGTTCTTTTTGGGGGCACATATTAAAGAAGACTACTTAATCTTTTAGTTCAGAAGCCTTACTCCTTACAGTTGCTTTCTGGATACTGATTTTGAAGTCAGACAAGTATTAGTCTTTAAGAAAGAAAAATCCTCTGCATATTTGTATTCTACAGAGAATTTTGTATGTTTCTATGTAAGTAAAGAGATGTGTTTATTTAGTCATGAGAAAAATCCTACCCAAGTGATTTGCTGAACCACCTTATAAAATTTGATTTTTTTTCTACCTTTCCAAGCTGAAGGGAAAGGGTTACTTTACTTTTGAAAGAGCATAACTTTTTTATTTAGGAAAGAAAATGAGCTCTGCTTTGTTCTTAGAAAGGAATTTCTTCACTGCATCAGCTGGGCACCTTCTTGAGTGCCTTCATGTGAATTTGATTGGCTTACAGTGTAAAGCAACTTGTTCAGTTTGTCCTTGCATCTTTTGTTACAGTTGATGCATACACTGAAGAAAGGGTCTTTTTGTTGGCAGGAAGTGCCTGATATGTGACTATTAACTTCCTACCATTATTCCTTTTTTGTGGCTGTTGCTGCCAAGTTCCTTCTGAGACCTGACAGCAGACGTGCAGCTCCATGTCAGCATAATCGGTCTCCACATGCTCATACAAGTGAGGGAGGAGCAGAGCTACTCTAGTTTTAACAAAGTTTCTGATCATGCAGTGTAGAATCCAGAGCTGCTACAGTAGGACGTGGTAATGTCCACTAGGACACTGAGCAAAATGTCACACCATGATATCATGACTCCTTTCTGTTATTGTTTCAGCAGTAGGGTTTTCGGCAGTAAAGCCCATCTGGTTTAGGGAGGCTTGCTATTGTTAGCATTCTTTGATTAATAGAAATCTACGTTTGAGAAGTCATGGTTTGACTTTGTCATTGAGGTTTCTAATATAGTACATAGGTGAGCTGATTAGGGTTAGATTTTTCTTTTTGAAGTTACTTAAAGTTTTCCTTCTACTTGTGGCAAAATGATGCTACATGTATTTTAAAGGTAACCAAAATGGTTAAGAAATAATTTTCAGTGAGATTTCATATCAGACTGTTTAATTTTTAAAAATTTTGATTGTTTCCAGTTGAGACCAGTCTTGGCATTCAAATTTAGAGATTAGAATGTTTGTACTTTATTAGAAGTTTTAAAAATATATATATAGGTAATAGGGGGACTAATGAATATATTTAGATGTTTTGGTTTTCACAAAGTATTACATTTAAAGGGAAGCCTTTAAAAATTTTTGTTTGTTTATGGTGCTGGGGATGGAATCCAGCTCATTCTACCATTGAGCTAAGTCCCCAGCCCTTTGTTTAAATTTGGAGACAGGCTCTGGAACTTGCAGTCCACCTGCCTTAGCCTTCCAGAGTGCTAGGATTACAGCCATGTGCCACCTCTCCAGACTGGGAAATTTATTATTGACTCAGGAAAATTTGTATCCAAGAATAGTTATGACTAAAATATTGGTCTTAATGTCTAAAATTTTAGAGTTTCACCATACCTATTATGTGCCTACCAGGCACTGTGAATAGGGCTTTGAGGTATAACAAAGATCAGAATAGTAATGTCCTCAAGTTTTATATTTTTTTCAGTGCTTAAGAGTAATGACTTTCTAGCATTGCTGAGATGTCAATAGTATTTCACAAACATTTTCGAAAGCTTGCACTGTGTATCTATAGCTATAGCTATTGGTTCTGTTTCTCTGGAGAACCCTAATATAAGTAATTTGTCTCTTAAAATTGGTCTTCCCTTCCCCTCTCCTTATTTCCTTTCCCTTCTCTGCTCCTCTTCTCTCTAGCAGAGGTAGGGATTGAACTCAGGGCTTTCATACTGAATTTACATTCGCAGCTCCTTTTACTGTATTTTATTTTGAGACAAGGTCTTGCAAAGTTGCCCAGGCTGGGCTTGAATTTGTGATCCTTCTGCTTCAGCTTCCCAGAGGTGTGTGTTGCCATCCTGGTGAAAACTTTGTATTTTGATAATCAGATAAACATCATCTTACAAAGAAAATTTGTGTATTTATTTGCATTTTGAATGAGGTGATTTTTTCTCCCCCCTTCTCTAGGGAAAGGTCATAAATGCCTAGAGTTAGAATTTGTTTTAAATAGTCCAAAGATAGCTAGTCACTGAGGTTTATACTCAGAAATACGGACTGGTGTACTGTCGCATAAATTGCCACCCTTCTTTGAAAACTTTCTCTGTGATTTGGAAACAGTGTATGATTAAACTGTAGGTTATCTCATCAAACCATTGATTTGTTTTATTTTGTACATTTTCTCCTGTTTGGCTCTATTTAGAAGGAGGTTTTTAAACAGGTATTTCTCAAAAGCTAATAGTAAATATATTTTGAATATTGTCTTTGTATCTTAAGATTTGCAGTCATTGATCACACTGTTAACATTACTGTTCACTTTTTTTTTTAAAGCTTTGCTGGGAATTGAACCCAGGGCCTTATGTGTGCTAGGCAGACACTGTTAAACTGAGCTGCGCTCCCTATCCCTGTTACCTGTTTATGTCTTACAGTTAGTAAGAAAGGAGGAGGAGGACCTGGAGGAATTGCTCTCAGTAGCAGAGCATTGCAGGAGGCCCTCGGTTCAATTCTCAGCAACCAAAAAAAAAAAAAAAGAGAGATAACCTAATTCAGCATTCAAATATAGTTGTGTGTAGTGTACATGTTCTCATGGGTTCCCTAAGTGTTTACTCAGCTTTCTGCTGGTTACTAGAGTTCACAAGTATTATACAATTTCAGTACTTTATTTAGAGACTAGGTCTCACTATGCAGTTCAGGCTGGCCTTGAATTCACTGTGTAGCCCAGGTTGGCCTCAAACTTGGCAGCAGTCCTCCTGCCTCAGCCTCCCAAGTGCTGGAATTATAGGTGTGCACTACCATGTCTGGCTTACTTTTTCAATTTAGAAAATGAAACAAAACTACATTTAAATCACTTCCACAAAGGATATTTTTGAAGTATACCATTCTTCTCACTGATTGGGGAAAAGTTGGGAGGTAATATGTTGAAATATGCTTATTTTGTTATTTATTGTTTAAATGAACCAAGGAGAGGTAGCTGGGAAGCTGAGACAGGAGGATTGTGAGTTTGAGGTCAGCCTGGGCTACATAGTGAGACTCTTTCTTAAAATAAATTCATTACTGAACTATTTTAAAGTAAAATGAACTCTTAGTTCTCTATATTTAGATGAAGCTGTTCTAAACACTTTAATGTTTTTTGGAAAATAATCCTATTTGAAGTTTGTACTCAGACAAGGAGAAATTAGTAACTCAGTACGTTATTTTGCTATTTTTATGTTCTATTAAACTGTTATATATCTATGTTTAAATACAGTAATGTTAACCAAATTAAAGTATTGTCTTTTTTTTGGTTAAATTCTTTTATTGGTACATTTTAGGTATACAACACAATTACATTTCTCATTGGGAATTGTACCTTTACATGATGCATCTTG